AGAACCAAGACGAAGTGGTCTCCTGAAAACTTAGAGAGAAGAGTGTATCAAAGAAGAGATAGTGATCAACAGTGTAAAAGGCTGTAGAGAAGTCTAGGAAAATGAGTATTGAGAAAAGGCCATTGGATTTGGAAACTAAGAGATTCTAGAGGCCTTCTGATTCAACTCTCCCTCATTTTACAAATAAGAGCAGAGAAATTAATTGACTTGCCCAAGGTTACACAGGTAATACATGACAGAACTAGAATCTGAGCATATCTCCATTGACTCCAAACCCAGTATTCTTTCTACTACATCTGTTGACTTGTTTTGCTTAACTATGTAAGTGAGGGTTCAATTAGTAGTTCATTCAGGGGCAAAAGCAGAGTCATTTTGAAGCAATAGCAACATAACAATAACAGCATCAATAAAACATTCTTCAAAAAAAAAAGAATTGTGGTTCAATTACATCTTTCCAGTCTCAATAGAATGGTGGTTGGTGATGTTCTGCTTATATTTGCTTTTGCTTCTTACCTAATGGTAATAATTCACAAGTAAGGCTATTTGGCTCCTTGAAAAGTAATTAAATCTTAGAGAAGTATGCATACAAAAGAAAATAACTAAGTAGAACCTTCTATGCGGTAAGTATTTTCCTGGCATCCACTGATGACTGGAAAAACCAGTGGCTGGATCATGCTGCTCATAAAATATAAGAGGGAATAGTTTTATTAAGACTTTTTAAAAAGTCAGTATTTGCTGTGGTGGCCTAATATTTGTGGGTAATTCAAAATGTGCTTAAGCCTCATATAAAATATAATATCTAACCACTAGGAAGTTACATTTTATGACACATGCATGTCTCAATAAAAAAGTATGGTCAATGCAAGGTCAGAGATGGAGGCAACCTGGCTTGGAGCTGAGCCTCTAATACTGTGAGCTATGGATCTGGAAAGGCTACAGCCAGAAAATTCCTTCTTATGCAGGAGTTGGAAGTGATGTATTGCATAGACAACTAGAAATCAGTTATGGGACACTCAAATCAGCTAACTCTACTGAACAGTGGAACTAAAGACAGGAGCAGGGTCTTAAACAGGCTTGGGGGAAGTAATTTAAAATTTGTAAAGAAGGTAAAAATAAAACAGTACCTGAAACTATTTACTATATTTGCCATCTTGTCTTGACACTCAAGCACTTAAGGTCAAAGCATAGCCAAGTGGCTTTGCTTTTACTATTTCACTTGATTTCCGCATGAACAATCCCTACCACACCCATCCAAGGATGCAACCATCTCTAACTGGCAGATTAAGAACCTCATCACTGTGTTAGGCCAGATGAAGTCTTTTTAAAAAGCATAATACATACCAAGGCACTTTAATACAGTTGGGGAGATTAACACACAAAATAATTAATGAATGCTTCACCATTGAATTAAGTTCTGAATTGTGCAGTATGGACTCTAAGTGCATCTCAGAAAAAGATTAAATTAGTGAAAAAAGGAAAGAGTCCATGGTGGAGCTGGGATCTGAGCTTGATCTTAAAAACTGGCTGAGATTTGGAGAAGTAAAGGGTAATCTCTTCAGGTGTGGGGAAGCACAGAGAAAGGGAGCATAGCAGGCTTATGCAGCATTGCAGTTTTTCTTTTGCCTTATTTGTTAAAGCTAATATGAACAAGGCTAGGACCATGAGGCAGAGATATTGGTAGGATCCACATCTGCAAAGACTTCCTGCAGAAGCTGAAATTTTAGGAGGCTTTGAATGAGAGAACAATGATAGCTCAGGGGATGGGAAATGAGGGTTGTTTCTAACACATGGCAGAAAGTATGAAATACAGACAAGCAGTTTCAGTTAAATGAAAGAAAGCAAATGGGTTAGTCAGGGATTCTTAACCTGGAGTCCATGTACTTTTTGAAAATGTATTTTAATAATTATATTTTGATTTCCTTTGTAATGTTATGTAGTTTATTTTTATGCATTTAAAAATAACTTTTTGAGAAGGGGTCCATAGACTTCACCAGACTGCCAAGAGGAAGGCTCCATGGAACAATAACAACAACAACAAAAGGCTAGGAACCCCTGGGTTAGAGTAATGCTGAAGGAGGAGGTTGTATTAAGAGTTGCAGAGGTCAGGAGAGGATTCCGGGAAGATGGCAGAGTATGTCAGAAAATGTTTGGCTCTCCAAATTTCCTCCACAAAAGAAAGAAAAAAGAAGAAAAAGACAGAACATTGCCTCAGAGCAGCAGAAATGAACACAATTTGTCACCTTTTGTCAATTTTTGAATTGACAATTATGTGTCAAATTGTCATCATTATTTGGGTGGTTGGGGAAAAAAAGGCATGGCCTGAGCTAAGTATGATTCGGTGAATCTAAAAAAATAGAATTGTGTAGAGAGAGCTAAAAAGGAGTAATTACCTCACATAAATGAAGCATAAAAGGAAAAACTGATCCAGAAGAAGCTGAGTGGGAGGAAGGAGGGTAGTGCAAGATCCTTATTGTCATCAGGAATGGGTTAAAGAGGGAACAACATATACATCTGGCAGGGTATAAAAGTTCTAAATTCAGAAGGAAATAAAAGGACAAGGGGATAGAGTTGGAAGAGGAAGGATAAGAGAAGGACTCTTAGAGGGGTGGGTAGGTTAAGGAATAGGAGAGAAATTCAGCAGATAGAAGTAAAGCAGAGGAGTGAGAAACAATAGGGTAAATAGGGTGAGAAGGATAGTGAGGGAAAAGAGGAAAGAGGAAAATACAGAAGTAATTATAGCTTAGAATATGAATGGGATGAATTTACCTATAAAACAGAAACAGAGCAGATTAAAAATTTGAATTCAAAAATATGTTGATTCTAGGAAACATTATAAAAATGAGAGATACACATAAAGATAAAATAAAAGGCAGGAGTAGAATTTACTATGTAAAAAAAAGCAGGGACAATAATCATCATCTCAGACAAAGTTAAAGTTAAAATAGATTCAATCAAAAGTGAAAAATAGAGAAACTACACTATGTGTCAGCTGTATTATTCAATATTGTTTTAGACCATTCAAAATACCTAGACAGTGTAAAGTACTGAGCATATACCTGCCAAAACAGAAATAGGAATTATGTGAACATAAACATAAAACACTTTTTATACAAGTAAACTCTGATCTAAATAAAGTGATATTCATTGTTCATGGGTAGGTAAAGCCAATATAATTCTAAAAATGACAATTTTACATAACTAATCTATTTATTCAGTATCATCCCAATTAAATTACTAAAAACTTATTTTATTGAGTTAGGAAAAATAATAACAAAGTTCACTTGGAAGAACTAAAGATCAGGAAGTTCAAAGAAAAAAGATGTAAAGGAAGTAGAATCAGCAGTATTAGATCTTAAACTATATTATAAGGTGAAAGAATTGTTGAAGTATAAAAGGGACAATTTTGATCATTTTAAATTAAAATATCCTTGTACAAATAAAATCCATATAGCCAACAATAGAAAGAAGGCAGAAAACTGGGGGGGGGGTGGCGGGGAACTTTCACAGACAACCTCTCAGATAGGATGAAATTGGGTAGGAATATTGCTGTGATGTAGTTAATTATGAACTGGTTGCTTTAGAAAAACATGGAAAGACTTGAACTTATGAATGAAGATGCTATTCACCTTCAGAGAAACAGATGATAGGAAGAAATAAGCATAGTATGCTCTCACATTTATGTGTATGAGTATATATGTGTGTGTGTATGTGTACATATATATATATATGTATGTGTATAGATATCTATGTATATGCATATATATCCATGCTTAATTGTAGCCTTCTTTTGCTAGAAGAGGGGAAAATAAAGTAAAAAGTGCGCAGCAGAGAACAAAAGAAAACCAACAAGAAAGCAAAGAAAGCTGGTAGCTCTGAAAACAATGTATAGTAATTATTATATAGGTTTTCTTGAAATGGAAATTTATTGTTTTATATTGAGTCCTGTCTCACGGTCTGCTGTGCACATGGCAATGTTTTCTTTTCTTTTCTTATTTTCTATTTAAGTTTAAAATTTTTAAAAATTATCAAAAAAAAAAAGGAATAGCAGAGGTCCTTCTCTTTGCTCCCCTACCTTTTCATGGTCCTCCCTTACTCTAAACTCCTGTTCAAAATCACTCCCTCTTGAAAGTATTTCCTGGTTGACCCCCATCTAGTCCTGATCACTTGTACATCCATTCCCTAAGTTAGTTATTGTTGTTCGTCCTTCATTCTCAAAGAGGACCAATGACATTGGGAGGGTGATGTCTTAACTTGCAAGTGAATTGGATTTAAGTGAGGCAGAGCTGTGCAAAGTCATCAGCCTCACTCTCTCTTTCAGAGTCATCAGAGTCTAGACAATACCATTCCCTAAGTATTTAGGTGCTCAAATTATACTACGTCAATTTTCACATTTGTATGTTTCCTTGTGTCAGATCTTTATCACAAAAATGTTTTGCATCACCATATAGGTTATATTTGATATACTAATTGATACAGCCAAGTAGATTATAAGGTCCTTCAATCTAGGAAAGGTGTCCCCTTAAGCTCATCATAGTGCTGACTATTGTGTTGACTAATCATTAAAAGTCCTTAAAGAATCAGTGGTTTACCTGTGTTGAATCTGATTTGATGGGCAACAATTAGCTTTCAGAGATTAAACAAGAGAGTGAACAGAAAATTACCCATGAAGGGAAGGAAAGTAGAGTGAAAAATATGAAGGTAATGGAAAGAGAAGAAAAAATATGAGGTTGTCAGAGACAACAGGCTCTTTTGAGAATAAATTAAGGCCATTTATTGTACTGATGAAGACAAGGAAAAAAGCCTGGGATGTGATGCAGAATGAGCAATGGGGAAATTCCTTTTTCCCCAGATGGAATAAGAGAATGGACAAGCAAAGATAGACACTGACTGATGACTGTATGTATCTACATGATCCTAAAACAACAATAAGCATTGTGAAAATAATAAAAATGCTTATTTTTAAAAATATCATGCCATCAAAACAGTAGGTTGATTACTTGATTCATTTATTTTCCAACTGGTAGTTTTGATATGATAAAGCCACAGCAGAAGGCTGTTGTTATATTTCAGTAATAGGATCAAATTAAAAGTTTTTCAGTTAATGTATGTGTATATTCTGAAGCATTTATAGAGACAAACATGTTGACGCAGGAAATGCCAAAATAACGCAACCAAGACTTAACTTGTGGCAATCCCATTGACCATTCAGTAGTTGAAAATGATTTTTTTTTGGTTACAGAACTATGATTTAATGGGTAAAGGAGTCTAAAGATAAGGAAATTCCCTCTACTAATACATATTGATTCCTGCTGTATAATTTAAAGTTGTAGAGAGTTGCTGAAGCACTGAGTTGTTTAGTGGCTTGCCCGGGATCACATGGCTTGTATGCATCAGAGTTCCATTAAGCACAGGTTTTCTGGATTTCACAAACAGTTCTTTTCTGGTTATACCATGTTCTCTCTCTAGTCTTTTCAATTACTACAGAAAAAATAAAAAATAAATAAAGTCAGGTCAACCAGTCATGCTGTATAATATAAAGTCACACCATATATAAAAATATATACAAAATATATATAATATAAAACCTTGCTATATATATATGTACATAAATAAACATATACATAATATTGTCATGCTATGTATAAATATATATAATTTAAAGTCATGATATATATGTACCTACAAATATGTCATATGAAGCCATCGTACATATGTATAAAATATAAAGTCATGCTAATTTTATATATATATATATATATATATAGTCAATTCAATCATGCCATATAAATAAAACATTAGACAGATGCATAGAGATAAACAGAAAAAACAGAAAAACAATCTAAACTATTCTTGTCTTTGATAGGATATAAGGATATACTCAGATCCTCCCGTATTTGATAACATGGTGGGCATGAAGATGAGTATCATCAGCCAACCAACAAGGAGAATCATAAGATGTTTTTGCCTTCCTTGGAAATGCCATAGTTAATAATTGATATAGCTGTGTTCCCTGTTCCACTGTCCCTTGCAATGCCAGAGTTAACAGATACATTATGGCTGTCTAAATGGAGATTAGGGCAATGAAGGAACCTGCCTCTCCCCTACCTCATATCTTCCAATACGGGAATTTTTCCAGTGGGGCACAGGATTGAAGAGATGACTTCTTATTATATGTATTTCAGTACCCTCTTGATTCAATGCTGTGAGAATCATAGGATCACATATTTTAAAACTAAAAAGGTCGTAAGAAGCTGCCTAGTTCTACCCTCTAAATTTAGATATGAGATAACTAAGATCAAGGGGCATCTAAGTGGTGTGGTAGATAAGAGGGCCAGGCCTAGAGTCAGGAAGACTCATCTTCCTAAGTTCAAATCTGGCCTCAGACAGCTATGTGACCCTGGACAAGTCACATAACTCTACCTCAGTTTCCTCATCTGTAAAACGAGCTGGAGAAGGAAATGGCAAACCACCTCAATATCTTTGCCAAGAAAACCCCAAGTGGGGTCACAGAAAGTTGGACACAACTGAAACAAATAAACAACAACAAACTGAGGTCAAAAGAATTTAAGTGATTTGCCCAAGGTCACACAGACAATGAGTGATGAACCAATATTTGAATCAGTCTTTCTTCACTTAATGGGATCAAATTCCCAAGCTTTTAAACTGACTTCTTCCTGGCAGAGCTTATAATGTAACTAGATATTGCCTTATCCTCAGACGTGAATCTGAGAGATGATACATGACTGAAAATATGACCTACTTTGATGGACAGTAGTAGTCAGGACTTCTATAGTTTGGCTCATAATCTTGCTTCCTGTTTTGTTTTCCTGCCTGCTATAGTGGGCACAAGAACCTTAAGGTTTCCCTCAACTATACTTCTTCACTGGGGATAAGGGATCTGGCTTTATATAAGCACTCCCCTCCTTAGCCTGTGGGAAGCTAAGGAAACAAGAGCCTTGTGGTTCTGATCCTATTTTTCTTTCCTCTTCTGAAGGAGGAGAGCAACTTTTGGTCTGTACTCAAAGACTTTCCCCTTTCCCACAGCCATTAGAGAGTAGCTGGGCTGGCCTAGCTCTCATTTTGTCTCTTGTCTTCCAGCTGTGGATGGAGCTGGGGCCTGGGTTAATCTTGACTCCTTTTCCACCCTTCCTTTCTGGTAGCCCAGAAAAACTGCGGAACTCCACCTGTCCCAACATTTCTTGCTGCCATAGATCTGCCCTTACTTTGAGCTGAGCCAAGAAGGGAAACCTGCTTTGCAATCTTTTTTTCTCCTTGTCTTCTGTCTCTCTATCTCTGTCTCTCTGTCTCTGTTTTTGTCTCTGTCTCTCTCTGTATGTATGTCTCTCTGACTCCCTGTCTGTCGCTTTCACCTTGCAAAGTCCAAGTGATTACAGATTACCTGGAAAAACAATTTATTAAATTTGGTAAAACTAATAACACAGTGACCTCATCTGAAAGTACATGCAATGTTATACATCTGTAATACTCCTCCAGCCTCTCCATTTTTGAACTTTTTTAATTAAAAAAAGTTTTTTCTCTCCCTCCCACCCTCCCCATTGAAGAAAAAAGAGAGAAAGAAAAGAAAAACAAATTCCTTGTGAAAAATATGCTTAATCAAGAAAAACAAATTCCCTCATTGACCATATATTAAAATATATCTTGTTCAATACTTTAAATCCATTACTTCTCTGTCAGGAAGCAAATACTATGTTTTACCTTCAGTCCTTTGGAATCATGGATGGTCATTGAATTGATCATAGTTCCTACAGCTCTCAAAATTGTTTATCTTTATAATGTTGCTATTCTTCATGTTCTGCTTAATTTACTTTGAACCAGTTCTTATAAGTCTTTCTGAAATCATCTGTTTCCTTATTTCTTACATTGTGATAGTATTCCATGACATTCATATACCATGATTTATTCACTCATTTCTCAATTGGCAGGAATCCCTTTAGTTGCCCTTTTTGTTATCACACACACAAAAAGCTGCTATAAATATTCTTGTGTATCTAGGATATTTTTCCTATTTTAAAAAAATAATCTCCTTTAGATACAAGCCTAGTAGTGGCATAATTGGGTTAAAGGCCATGCACTGTGAGTAACCTTTTTTATATAAATCCAAATTGTTTTCCAAAATGGTTGTGCCCATTCATGAGTCCACCAACAATGCATCAACCTGCCTGTTTTGCCATAGCCCCACCAATATTCATCACCTTCTTTTTTTGTCATCTTTGCCAATCTGAGTGTGTGAGGTAAAATGTCAGAAGTATTTGAATTTAAAATTCTTCAGTTAAAAACAACTCTGAAGTACCACCTCACATCTATCAGAGTGACTAATACGACCCAAGAAAAGGAAAATGTTGGAGGGCACTGGGAAAACTGGGAGACTAATACATTATTGATGGAGTTGTGAACTGATCCAACCATTATGGAAAGCAATTTGGAACTACACCCAAAGGGCATACCCTTTGATCTAGCAATACCATTGGTAGGTCTATATCCCAAAGACATCCAAAAAAAGTGTGTATTGTGGGGAGGGGAGGACCTATTTGTACAAAAATATGTATAGCAGCTCTTTTTTGTGGTGGCTAAGAACTGGAAATCAAAGTGATGCCCATCAATTGGGGAATGGCTAAACAAGTTCTGGTATATGATTATAATGGAATATTACTGTTCTATAAGAAATGACAAGCAGAATGATTTCAGAAAAACCTGGAAAGACTTACATGAACTGATGCATAGTGAAGTGAACAGAACCAGGAGAACATTGTACACAGTAACAGCAATATAGTTCAATGAAGAACTGTGAATGACTTAGCTATTCTCAGCCATACAATGATCCAAAACAATTCCAAAAGACTAATGATGAAGCATACTATCCACCTCCAGAGAAAGAACTGATATTGATTGAATACAGATCGAAGCATGCTCTTTTTCTCTTTCTTTCTTTTATTTTTTTCTTTTATTCAAGTCTTCTTGTACAAAATTACTAACATAGAAATGTTTTACATAATTATACATGTATAACCTGTATCTGATTGCTTACCATCTCAAGGAGGGGGAGGTGAGGGAGGGAAGGAGGAATAGAATTTGGAACTCAAAACTTTAAATAAAAATGTTAAAATTCTCTAATTTTTAATGACTTGAATTTTTTTTTCATTTGGCTATAGACAGCCTGGGGTTCTTGAAATTTTTTACTTATATACTTAGATCATTTCTCAATTGAAAAATGACTTATTTTTATAAATTTGAATCATTTTCTTATATATCTTGGAAATGAGACCTTGTCAGAGAAACTTACCGCAAAGATGTTTTTCTCAATTGTTTCCTTTGTTGAATTTGTTTGTATAAAAAAAACCCTTCTTAATTTTATGTAATCAAAATTATCTATTTTATCTTCTGTGATCCTCTTTATCCCTTGTTTGATCATTTACTTTTCTCCTAGCCAGAGACATGATAGATAATCCCCCCCCCCGCATGTTCCTCTAATTTGCTTGTGATGCAACCTTTTATATATAGGTCACATATCCACTTGGTGCTTATCTAGAAATGAGGTGTGAGGTGTTGGTCAAATTCTAATTTCTTTTATACTGATGTCCAATTTTCTTAGCAATTTTTATCAAATAATGAGTCCTTATCACAATAGCTGAGGTAAAATACTTCTTTCTCTAGAGCATAACTGTATATTTTATAGGTTCACCTTGATTGACACACTAAAAACAAGGCCAAAAGGTCCCAGGAATCCTGGCAGCCCAATAGATTTTGGTACATTGAACTTCAGTTGCCAAAAGTTAGAGACATTTCCTCTCAATCCTCCTCCTACCAGTTCCCTTAACAGATCTAAAATAGTCTACCAAGAAAATAAAATAAAATAACTTTAAGTTGCACTTTGTCTTCTTCTTAATCAGACGTGGTAATAGGAATTTTGGAGAATAGCATTAGAATACATAGGATCATAGACTCAGAGCACTGGAGGAAGTTTCCAAAGCTATTCAGACCCCAACCTTTTGTCCCTTCAGTGAGTCCTTGTAGGGACAATTAGGTGGCACAGTGATCACTGGCCTGCAGTCAGGAGGACCTGAGTTCAAAAATGGCCTCTGACACTTTATTAGCTGTGTGATCCTGGACAAGTCACTCAACCTCTATTACCTCCCAAAAATTAAATTAATTTTTTTTTAATTTCATTATTCACAACTGGATAGGCATGTCTCATCAATGGCCAAGGGAGTCAATCTGATGGGTAAACAGATGGACTCTACATACTGTCCATATTGGCTTGAGAGCTGGCTCTTTGCCACTTAATAAATGGCAGCTCCCTTTTTTATAAAATATAATAATCACATTTTATTAAATATAACAAGTTTCCCTTGTTTATCTTTTTTTAAAAAAATAATGGAAACTTTGAGGTTGGGAATTTTTTTTTAAGTATCTTTTGGATATGGCCTGACTGCAAGCTGTGCATCTGAGTTAAGGATGTT